GCCAGCAGCACTGATTTGAAACCCCAGTCTTGGCAATAAATAAATAAATCTGCTTAATAATAATTTGTCTTATATCAAGCAAAACTAATACTACATTTTCACTTTGCAAAAGTGTATGATAATTAGTAGTACATATTAATTTCCATGATAAAAATATTAAAAAATAATCATCTCAACATGTTTCAACATAACCAGGACAAGCCTATAGCTGATAACCAAGCTGAGCAGCTTATAACTCAGGCCTCCCCTGCCAGCCTGTAGCACACATCCCATAGGTAACCTCCAGGTGGCAGCAGAGTCACATTCACATTAAGGACATTGCCAGGGACGTAGGTGTCAAAACTAGCCTCACTCTTCTAATTTGAAGCGTCAAATTCCACAACACAGGTGTTATGCAAGGTTACAGCCAAGTTTCTCATCTTGCTGTATCTAGAGAGAAAATTTCCTGGGCACTTCACAGTGCTGTTTGATGTATTTTAAGTGAACAGCAGGTATTTGTTTTCTTTTGAAACTCCATGCCCTCACTGTAAAACCTGGAATAAGTGGAGAAGAAAACTCCAACCAGCTACAAATCACAGCCAGAGCCAAAGTGTGAACAGATTCGTCTGCCTCAGACATTCAGAAGGTCACACATTTCTATTTTTTCCATTAAAGACTGTTCCTTTAAAAGCCATTATAGGACTATAAGCTCTTAAATGATCTCTATATTGAATTTCTAAAGAATTCTGTACTTAGAGCATTTATTCAGAAGAATCATACATATATTATTCTATATTTTCAGTTGAAAAGACCACACAATCTGCAATCCAGTTGGCTTTATCAGGGGACATGGTGACACACAGTTCAGTTCAGTTGATAGTTCAGATCCAGCATCATTCTCACTCCCCACACCCCACCTCAAAGGCAAGTGAACTGATTTTTGCTTTGGCAGGCCTACATAGTTTCCTTATAGGGTACTGTGATTTATTCACTTTTAAACAAATACTACTAATTATACTAAGACAGATCAATTTTCATAAGATTTAGAATTCCTGGGCTGGGAAGGTGGCTCAGTGGTAGAGCGCTTGCCTTGCGCATGCCTGAGTCCCTGGGTTCGATTCCTCAGCACCACATAAGCAAAAAAGAAAAAAGGCCGGAAGTGGCGCTGTGGCTCCAGTGGTAGAGCGCTAGCCTTGAGCTGAAGAGCTGAGGGACAGTGCCCAGGCCCAGAGTTCAGGCCCCACAACCAGACCAAAACAAAAACAAAAACAATAAAAAGAATTAGAATTCCTTTAAAATATCTTTCAAGCTGGGGGCACTGGCTCACCCATGTAATCCTAACTACTTGGGAGGCTGAGAATAGCAGGATCCCAGATCAAAGCCAGCCTAGACAAAAAGTTAACCAAGACTCTGCCTCAACCAATAGTTGGATAAGGTGGCACGCACTTGTCATCCAACTACATCGGAGCTGAGGGCATGAGGAGCACAGTGCCAGGCTAGTCCAGGTAAAATTGTTCACAAGACCTCATCTCAACAGCAAAAGCTTAGGCATGGTGGTATGTACAGGTCATCTTAGCCACAACAGAAATAATTAGGAAGGTGGTGATGCAGAAAATGGGACCCTATCTTAAAAACAACCAGGGTAAAAAGAGCTATGGGTGTGACTTAAGTGGTAGCACACCTGCCTAGCAAGCACAAGGCCCTAAGCTCGAATTTTAAAATAACTTTCAAACTCATGAAAACTTTCTCCTAAAATTATTTTATGAAAATGTGTGGATTGAGGAGACACGTCTTTAATTAATTTAGTACCAAACAGAACTACATCTTCAGCACTCATTCTACTGGAATTTAATTAAATTGCTCCAAGAGAGTTTCTGCTAAATTGGTAGGATCCTTTTACACTAACCCACTGTACCACCAACTGCACAGAGCAATCAAACCACCCGTTGCTATAGCAACCTGCAGCAGATAATGGTATCTGTAACTCTAGCTATTCCATTTGAAATTCCTATTAATCTTGCCAAGGCCCACCCAGAAGGTAGGATTACCTCTCTAAATCAGACTAACCCAACTTGATAAACATGTTTTCTTTTATTGCCAAACTATAATGGAACAAGAGATAATCTCTAATAATTATGTTCACTAGTGACACAGCATCAGCAAACATAGGGTTTTTTAATCCAGGTAAAGTAGCTGTAAGATTAATGTCAATGCCTCATTAAGAAGTAGATTTGCCTTTAAAAGGATCTGAGATCTGTGTACAAGTTTTACCATCTCCTTTCGCAATAGGAGACCATAGTCTAGACCTAAGCAAAGCAAAAGCTTCCCCTCCACCACCACCACCCCAATTACAGCATGTTCTATATTCACTTTTAATTGCCGCTTGGCGGTGCCATCAAAATCCCTTCCCCAGAAAGAGAGAAAAGAGATTGAAAAAATAAAGTCTCTCATCAGAGTCAGCCAGACCCCCACTGAGAATGCCGTTATCCGTAACTCTCAGGTTCAACTCGTCCTCAACCAAGTCTACTCGCTGGCTTAGATCACTGGGTACATCGAGGACACAGCTGGAATGCAAGCCTCAAGTTCTCCCCTTCCTTCAACCTGTCTTACAGATGCCACAAAGCACAGCCCCGCCCCCTGCCCCCCCACAGTAGTGGCAGGCTCCCCGTGTACCCTTCTGGCAACACAAAAGGAAATCAGTCTACAAATGAATCCTTTCTTGCCATTGGCTGTGAATTCTGAGAGAACTAGGGTCAAGTTGATTTCTATTTCCTGCTTAGGCCTATGCTAGAGGAGGATGAACAAACCCTTCTTTCCCTCCACCCTACATCTTCATATCAGCTGTGGAGCAGGACTGGAGAGGGTATGCTACTTATCTTTGTAAGTAGCTCAAACATTTCCAATGCTAACACTATTTTTAATGTGTGTGTCTTGGTACTGAAGCTTGAGTTCAGAAATTTCTCTCCCATTCACTCCATTTGCTTGCTTGGTGGCAATTTAACACTTGATGCTATGCCTACAGCCTGACAGAGGTAGAGTCTCAAGGACTCTTTTGGCCAGGCTGGCTTTGAATCTCAATCTTCAGATCTCAGCCTCCTGAGTAACTAGGATTACAGACATGAGCCACCGATGTCCAGCTGAATGACTGATTGTAATTTCTGAAAAGCCAAGCTTGTCAGATGACTGATTCCTTGCAAACTGATTCCTTGATTCTTTTTTTTTTTTTTTTTTTTTTGGTCAGTAGTGGGCTTGAACTCTGGCCTTGGGCGCTGTCCCTGTGCTCTTCAGATCAAGGCGAGCGCTCTACTGCTTGAGCCACAGCGTCACTTCTGGTTTTCTAGTGGTTTACTGGAGATGAGAGTCTTACAGGGGATTGGGAAGGTGGCTCAGTTGTAGAGCGCTTGCCTTGCATGCCTGAGGCCCTGGGTTCGATTCCTCAGCACCACATAAGCAAAAAGAAAAAAGCCTGAAGTGGCACTGTGGCTCAAGTGGTAGAGCGCTAGCCTGGAGCTGAAGAGCTGAGGGACAGCGCCCAGGCCTAGAGTTCAGGCCCCACAACCGGACCCCCCCCCCCCGAAAAAAAAAAGAGTCTCACAGACTTTTCTGCCTGGGCTAGCTTTGAACCGTGATCCTCAGATCTCAGCCTCCTGAGTAACTAGGATTAAAGGCGTGAGCCACCGGAGCCCGGCCCCTTGATTCTTCTGTCAGCATAAAAGCCATGTAAAAAGAAAAACTGAACTCTTCATCCAAAGACTAATGACAACATTTTGGATTTCTGTTTCAACATCTCAATTCATTCCTTTCTCCTACAAGTGGCAGTACTCACAAGAGTGTTCATTTTGCCTAACTACTATACATGCAGACGGAGAGAAACAAAGAGATTTTTATCCACAGAACTATCAAAAAAGCCTTGCTCACCCCCAAGAAGGTGGATAACATGGCAGGAACTCCCAAATACCTCTCAGTCCTATCTCTTAACATTAACGGACTTAACTCTCCAATTAAGCGACATAGACTGTCTAGTTGGATTAAAAAACAAGATCCTTCTATCTGCTGCCTTCAGGAGTCACATCTTGCCCATAAAAACAAACACATTTTCAATGTTAAAGGCTGGAGCAAAATCTACCAAGCAAATGGCCCCCATAAACAGGCGGGAGTTGCAATCCTAATATCAGATAAAATAGACTTCAAATTAAAATTCGTGAGAAGAGATAAAGAAGGTTGCTACATACTAGTTAAGGGATCTCTCCTTCAGGAGGATATTAAAATTCTAAATATCTATTCGCCAAACAATGGAGCACCCAAATTTATCCAAGAAACACTACTTTCCCTCAAATCCCACATAGATCCAAAGACATTAATTGTTGGGGATTTTAACACACCACTCTCCCCACTAGATAGATCAACTCGGCAAAAACTCAACAGAGAAACCGCAGATCTAAACAGCTGCATAGATCAACTAGATTTAACAGACATCTACCGAATATTTCACCCAGCAGCATCAGAATACACATTTTTCTCAGCAGCACATGGGACATTTTCTAAAACAGACCACATTTCAGGCCACAAAGCAAACTTGTCTAAATTCAGAAACATTGAAGTTATACCTTGCATTCTCTCTGACCACAAGGGAATAAAATTAGAACTCAACACCAAAAGCCACCAAAGAAAGTCCTGTAACACATGGAGGCTGAACAACACACTGCTGAATCACGTGTCGGTCATGGAAGAGATTAGAAAGGAAATTCAAATGTTCATGCTATTCAACAAAAATGAACACACAAATTACCAGCTCCTCTGGGACACAACAAAGGCAGTACTCAGAGGCAAGTTTATAGCTCTGAGCTCCTACATCAACAAATTGGAGAGATCTGAAACCAACAATTTAATGACACATCTAAACCTCCTTGAAAAAGAGCAACAAGATAAACCCCAATCCAGTAGACGGAAAGAAATAACTAAAATTAAATCAGAATTAAATGAATTAGAATCCAAAAAAGCTATAGAAAGAATCAAGAAAA